CAGTTAACTGCCATCTGAGTTGGCAGTTAATTTGCATATAGCCCTGATTAGCCAATGAAAAGGGTAGCGTCGTACGCCAATTACCATTTTTCTCTTTTATTAGTGTAGATTTTATGTGGAAATCTTATAAATATACATGTATATATAATTGTAACACAAAACTATATGTGATATACACTGCTATTTCAGTGGTGAATTAAATTTTTCAAGCTACTTCGTTATTATTTGGTTAACTAAAGCAATAATTGGCTAAGGGTACCCATTGTTTGTGGTCTACTAACCATAAGAAGTTTGACTCTATCCTATATTTTATACATACATGTTCCACAAAAAACACACAGTACAGCATCTTTCACAGAAAGCATCCAGGCTTTCCTAATCAGTAAGAAAGTGACTAGGACTCATGTTCCTGGTGATCTTCTTCCATAGGTCCTGCTGCACTGGTAGAGAACATCTGTTAAAAGCCTCCTGTACTATTACGTATCCTTCTTGACAAACACTTCATTAGAATGGAAGTTCTCTCTGGGCAGAGGCCTCCTCTGTCTCCTGACTGCTAAGTTTAACCATCTTTACTTCTAGAGTTAAGAATCCTTTGTTCAGAGAGAAACACAGGAGAGCTCACACAGCTGGTTGTGGTATGGATGGTACCATGTAATTTTGTAAATTTATAAAAGGTTTTTTATTTTTTTCCCTGCAAAAAAAACCATAACAAAACAAAACAAAAAACATTAAAATGTTCATGTTTTTTCTTTATATAGACTCTAAGCCTTTCCAGAAGTATAGGAAATCTGTTACTCTGAAAGAATTATGTGATCTAATGCTCAAATAATCTACTGGAGGATTTTGGATGTAAAAATGTTTCTTAATGTGTTTTTCAGATGTCTGTGACCTTTTAAAATTGTTTTTCCCTTCATTTAATTTTAAGGCTCTTAGATTGACTGATTTGAATCATAGAAATTAATGAAGTAAAATTCTTGAATTGAGTAAACTGAAAGAACCTAAATCTATCTATCAAGCCATTATTAATATAACAAAAACAATTTCTAGAAACTCATTACCCAAGTTGTGATATGGAATAGGTGGAGAATGGTGTGTTGATTGAAATATTATGTTAATATAGAGCTACATGCAATATAATCTATAATAATATAAGCATAATATGCTAATTAGACCAGACAGCTGAACGACCTTCTGGACATCATTCCAGATGAAGCCGCAGGGTCCGAGGCAGAGGTGGTTAGGCAGGCAGACAGAGTGGTTAGGGGTGATGAGGCAGGCAGGCAGAGGCAATTAGGGGTGATGAGGCAGGCAGGCGAGTGGTTAGGGGCAATCAGGCAGGCAGGCAGAAGTGGTTAGGGCCGACCAGGCAGGTAGATGAGTGGTTAGGGGTGATCAGGTGGGCAGGTAGAGGCGGTTAGGGGCGATCAGGCAGGCAGAGGGGTTAGGCAATCAGGCAGGCAGGCTAGTGGCTAGGGGTGATCAGGCAGGCAGGCGGAGTGGTTAGGGGCAATCAGGCAGGCAGGGTAGCAGTTAGGAGCCAGAGGTCCTGGATTGCGATTAAACCAGCAGTCGGACATCCTTCAAGGGTTCCCAGATTGCGAGAGGGTGCAGGCCGGGCTGAGGCCCCCCACCCCCACCTCCCTGCGCACAAATTTTGTACACCAGACCTCTAGTGTCCAAATAATTAGAGAACAGTAGAATCTATTAACACAAACTATGCTAAAAGTAATTTTAATGTTTAATTCATTACTCTGGTTAGGAGTATTACATGTCATATTTTTGTGTTTTATAAAATATTTTTCTTAATAATTTCTCCCGCAATTTACTAATATTCTAAATTGTATTAATACCTCTCATGGTGCTCAACATATAGTTGTCACATAAATTTACTGAGGCTGCCAACAATTAGGGGATATACTTAAGGAAACAAAATTCTGATTGATTCTGATCTGTTTCTTTCAGAAAGGTCACCACCCATATAATGGAATTTTATCTGATTCTGTAGATCAGATTTCTTCATTCTGGATATCGCGGTAACAATATAGGAAGTATGCATAACTTCTCATTTCTGCAAGTAGACTTGAGTGCTAAAGGAAGAAATTTTTTAAGCTACAGAAGAATTCATTTTGGTGCCTTTTATGAAATCCTGATTTTGTTTTGAATTTTTTGATAACCTTTTACTAAAGGTATGAACACTCAAAGAACTTATCTCGTTTGGCAAGTCCACATTAATAAGAATGCCTAGAAGAGGATTGATTCTTCAAACCCGGACCCACTGGTTGCTGTTGGGTCTTGCTTTACTCTGTAGTTTGGTACTGTTTTTGTATCTTCTGGAATGTGCCCCACAGACTGATGGAAATGCATCTCTTCCTGGAGTCATTGGAGAAAATTATGGTAAAGAGTATTATCAAGCCCTACTACAGGAGCAAGAAGAACACTATCAAACCAGGGCAACCAGTCTGAAACGCCAAATTGCCCAACTAAAACAAGAATTACAAGAAATGAGTGAGAAGATGAGATCATTACAAGAAAGAAAGAATGTAGGGGCTAATGGCATAGGCTATCAAGGCCACAAAGAACAAGCACCTAGTGATCTTTTAGAGTTTCTTCATTCCCAGATTGACAAAGCTGAAGTTAGTATAGGAGCCAAACTACCTAGTGAGTATGGGGTCATTCCCTTTGAAAGTTTTACCTTAATGAAAGTATTCCAATTGGAAATGGGTCTCACTCGCCATCCTGAGGAAAAGCCAGTTAGAAAAGACAAGAGAGATGAATTGGTGGAAGTTATTGAAGCTGGCTTGGAGGTCATTAATAATCCTGATGAAGATGATGAACAGGAAGATGAGGATGGTCCCCTTGGAGAGAAACTGATATTTAATGAGAATGACTTCGTAGAAGGTAATGTGAAAAATAGTTATGTTAGTATGACAGAATGCTATTATTGTATGCTGATAAGTCAGTCATTTTCCATAGTATTAAAACATTTAAGTGTTTACTCACTGCATTCCACCAGGAGTTTGAAGTGGCTTTTTGAAAAAAGTTATCATATGATTGTAATAAAGTAGAGAATAAGAACCAGGGAAATAGAATAAATCTAAGCTTATACAGAAGACTACTACCCAAGCTGAAAACTCTTAGGATTGTTTCTGTATTTACATGTGTATGTATTTGCATTTCTCTCTTATCTGGTCTTGTTCCTTATATTTTTTTTAAAAATGTATGAACTAAGGCTCAAGATTTAAAAACCATTTGATAAAGTAATGACAAATCTAATTTTGTAGATTAGTGGTTATTCTCTGTTTTGGAGAGAGGAGAGAAGAGGTGTGAGAACATCAAGGAGGCATACATGGATTTAAAAATGCATGTTTGGCATTTGGGAAAGTATTTTCCTAATACAAACTGCAGAAAGGGCATGGGATTTTTATATATCAAGATGGGACATGACTCAAAAGTTGAGAAACACTGCTACAAATTTGAGATATTTGTTGATTGATATAAACAGGAATAATTACAGATCCCCACTCATCTCCATCTTAATATCCTGTGCTGAATATTTAATTACAAGCTTAAAACCATTTTAGATATAAATCTTTCTCTTTGCTTAACTCTAAACAGTGTAGTGATTTTGACCCTGAATCAGCATGGATGTCACTTGCTGTACTGAAATGTAATACCTCGAGGCTTTTGGAGGCCATCAGGGAAAGCATTATACTTTTCTGGCATTTCAACTGTCTTCTCCCTTTTGCCACCTCTTTTTTCTGCTGTCACTTCCTGCCATTTTCAGTGGGTTGCTTCTCTCAGAATTCTTCCAGTTTTTTCTGCAAGCTCAGGTTTTTGTCTTTTCACTCTATGTTTGTAGTTTATAGCAGAATTGAAAGCTGCTGAGAAAGATAACTATGTAACGTGTAGAATGTCTTCACATTTGCCTGAAAAGAAAGGAACCAAGGCCAGTTTTATATTCTGCTTGTAACTTTCCTTGGATTCTGTCACTTACAAGATTTTTCTCTGTGTGGAATATATTTTGTCCCTCAGTTTTCTTCCACTGTGATCCTCCTCTCACCAAAAAATAATTACTGACAACTGAGCAATTCCTATTCCTCTTTCCAGACTTCAGCTTAGAAGACACTTCTGGGAAGTCATCTCCAACCTGCAGGTCTAAGATAGCAGTGCTTCCTGTGTGCACTTGTAACCTCTGCCTATGTTCCCTCTCATAGTTCTTGTCTTATGGTATTGCTCATTTTCTGATTTGTAGTTCCTGCTTGACTGTAAGCCTCAGGAAGAGTGAGAACAGTCTATCTCCGTTTTATTCCCAGATGTTGACAGTGGCTCACACATCTGTAGGTCTAACCTTTCTTCTCAGTGTCACACTTAAAAATCAGCCCAGTAAACTTCCATGTTTTTCTCCCAAAGGCATCTCAAGTCACCATGTTTAAATCTATACTAATTTTTCTTTGTCTGACTTCACTATATTCAGTGTGTGTGTGTGTGTGTGTGTGTGTGTGTGTGTGTGTGTGTGTATGTATGTGCACACATGTATTTATCACTATATTATTATTTATTTTTCTGTCTCCATCACTAAACTGACCCTTACTCAAAACTGGGACCATGTAGCCCTCTTTCTACCACCAGTGATTGACACAATGGCATTCAGTTTATTTTTGTTGAGCTGAACCAAGCAATAGAAGTTTTAACTCTCAGGTCTAGAATTTAATATTGCTGGAAGTAATTTCTTTCTTTTCATCAGATGGTTAATAGGCTCTACAATTTAAAAATTCATATGTAAAAAGGAATAATTGTCATGTTAAGTATATGTTATAGATTGAATGAATAATAATATGCAGAGCAGTGAACTTTTTTAACCTCTCCTTTTTATAAAGAAACTAGAGGCCCAGTGCACAAAATTCATGCAGGGGTAGGGTCCCTAGTGGCTGCTGGCTGCCATCTGGGCCTCCCTTCCCTGGCTGCAGGCAACCAGGGCTTCCACACCACCCCCTGGTGGTCAGCGCTCGTCATAGCAAGCTATTGAACTCCTGGTCGGTCGAACTCCCGAGGGGACACTTTGCATATTAGGCTTTTAGATAGATAGGTAGATAGATAGATAGATAGATAGATAGATAGATAGTTGTGGGGATAAATAGTGGGATAAATATTTTCACAAACAGATAAAAACCCTACAGATCTGGTTTCATACTTTTGATCTTTGAGTAAAATCAGTATTCACATTGAATGTATAAACTTTGACATGGAGACATCTTTGTCCCTCACTCTTTCTTTTAGGTTATTACCGCACCGAGAGAGATAAGGGCACACAGTATGAACTCTTTTTTAAGAAAGCAGACCTTATGGAATATAGACATGTGACCCTCTTCCGCCCTTTTGGACCTCTCATGAAAGTGAAGAGCGAAATGATTGACATTACTAGATCAGTTATTAACATAATCGTGCCACTTGCTGAAAGAACTGAAGCATTTGCGCAATTTATGCAGAACTTCAGGTAACTCTCAGGGCTTAATGATTTGGCTTAGTGTGCCTGAAAAAAAAATTACACTTCACTTATTTGTCTTCACTGAGTATGATTACTTAGAATTACAGGATAATTGTATAGGCTTTAGGGAACTTTACTTTTTGATATTCTCTTTTTTTTAAGCATGTGTAGCTTATTGTGTTTTTGACAATTTGAACTGTGAAGTAAATTGAGGGGGACAACTATGAGAAACTACATTTGATGACCCTTATAAATGTGTGTGAATTCATGTTAGGAAAAGTTGAATTTTTAAAAATAACTATTGAGGCATAATTTCCATACAATTAAATCCACATATTTTAGGTATATGGCTTTCATTACTTTCTTTTTTTTTTTACAGAGAGGGAGAGGGATAGAGAGTTAGAAACGTCGATCAGCTGCCTCCTGCACACTCCCCACTGGGGATGTGCCCACAACCAAGGTACATGCCCTTGGCCCGAATCGAACCCGGGACCCTTCAGTCCACAGGCCGAGGCTCCATCCTCTGAGCCAAACTGGCCAGGGCGGCTTTCATGACAAATGTATACTCATGTAGCTACCTCCCTAATCAAGATATAGAACATTGCTATCTCCTCAGAAAATTCCCTTAAGGACAATTTGAATTTTAAAATTAAAATAAATTTTAAAAATACAGTAGGTCCTAGGGTTACGTCAGAGATCCGTTCCTGCAGTGCAACATAACCTAATGTGATTTTCGCTGCAAGTGCAAGTCGGAACCCCTACATAAGCACCTATGTCACTCACACGGAGCACATACACAGCAGTAATGAAGTGAAACAGTAAAAAAAATTTAAAAGAAAGATAACAGTTCCTGACCTTTACTTGTGGTAAATAAATAATAAAAAACATAAAGTACATATGTACATACGTTGAAATGACGGAACTTTTTTTTTAATAAATAAATGGGAGATGGCGACGCAACCATGAAACGACGTACGTCAAGTCCGACATACCCTGAGGACTGCCTGTACAAACATTTAACTAAAAATGGGAGAAAGTTATTCCATGTTGGGAAGCAGAGACTAACAATTTTTGAAAGAATTTTTTGACATTTAATTTGGATATTTTAAAATGCTGCAGTGTTAAAAGATAACCACACATTAGAATAACTATCTGGAGAGTTTTACTTATTTGTTTTAATAATTGCCATGCTTTAAATACTGTAATATGCTAGTTTTGATGCTTTGTAAGCCCAGTCTTTATACTCGTATTGAAATTAATGGATTTAAAAGTTAGTTAACACTCTTGTGTAGCAGAATATCTAAAAATCATGCTTCCAAATGAGTCTTGTATGTTTTAAAATAGCTCACTTGAGATCTGATTTCCTAAATCATTTTGTATTGCCTTTCTTGGAATTGCTTTCAGAAGCTACATTATTCTTTACAGTAAATCTCATTTATGGCAAATATTCCTTGATGATAGGTGTAACTTCTGGTACTAGCCAGTCTGAAGACAAAATAATTCTCAAATCAAAAGATAAATATTTATTTGTCTCTGAACTGATTGGACTTAATTCTTTCAGTAGCTTGTATTTTGCTTCTGAAGGCAGTACCAAAGCAAAAGTTCCCAAAATGTTTTGAAGAGTGGCAATGTTGTTGGATTGTTTCCATGGCCTTTCCAGGATTACACTCATTTAAGACATATACATTGCTATTGATTTGCTATGATGCCTTTAATAATTCAACAATATTGCCACTTCTATATTTACTTAAAATTTCATGTGATTTTCTTTTAAATTAGTAATGTCTCATTCATTTTCTTGTTAAAGCTTCATGTGATTGCTTTCTGAATGAGCAGAGCTTCATATATTTTCTTGAATGAACTTTATTTTTCAATTCTGTTAGGGACGTATGTATTCATCAGGACAAGAGGATTCATCTCACAGTGGTGTATTTTGGTAAAGAAGGACTGTCTAAAGTCAAGTCCATCCTAGAGTCTGTTACAAGGTGGGTGAGCCATGTCCACTTAGAAGTCCTTGTTATATAATGTTAGAAGAGTGAGAATGTCAGATATTTAATGAGTTAATTTGGAATAGTTGCTGTTTAAAAGCTGGCTGAGCATGTGAATGGTGCTGATAAGTTCCTCATTTCACCTCTAGGTTCACTCATGCACCTCTAAGTGACCCATCTTCACTTAACTTCCTAGCAGACAGCCTGGCATGATCAGGGTGCTCTCACTCTGCAGCCCACTCACTTCTATATGTTTGCCTCCATTTATTCTTTATTTCCTCCTGTTGAACTCTTTCCTTTTTTCTAAATCTAATCCCTTCGCTTTGGTATCATCTCTTGAGCTTGTCCCTTGTTACCTGTCTTTCCATTTCCCCAAGTACCTTCTTCTCACCCTGTAAACTCTCCCCTTATCCTTACAACACTTCCCCTGGACTCTATAGTATCCAGTCACTATTGTTAGGTTCCTGTCCTTTCATAGCTAAACCTCACAGGACAGTAGTTCTCTAACCAAACAATGCGTATAGTACCTGGCACATAGTAGGTGCTCAGAGGTTAGAATGAATGAATTAGTAATTCCTTAGTACTCCATTATTAATTCCATAGCTCCTCAGCCTTTTCATCACTAAGGACCTACTTGCCAAATTAAGCTTTTTCTGTCATTCTCTTTTATTACTTTTTTTAAATTAAATCTTTATTGTTCAGATTATTACAGTTGTTCCTCTTTTTCCCCCCATAGCTCTCCTCCACCCAGTTCCCATCCCACCCTCTGCCCTTCCTCCTCCCACTGTCCTCATCCATAGGTATACGATTTTTGTCCAGTCTCTTCCTGCACCCCCCCCACCCCCGTTCCCCCCAAGAATAGTCCGT